GTGCGATCCGCCCGCCGGAGGCCGAACCTGGCTGAGGAGAAACCAGTGGGACCCAGGCCCGCGGCGCCGAGGCCCTGAGCAGAAACGGTAGGGTGCGCCCCACCCGGCGGCCAGGCGGAGCCACAGATGCCGGCCTCGGCCGCGCCGCCCCGCCCGGGTCCCGGGCCGCCTCCGGGCTCGCATTTCCCGCTGCTGCTGTTGGCGGTGCTGAGCGGCCCGGTGTGCGGTCTGGTTCCCCGCTGGGTGCCCAGGACCTCGCTTCCCGTCTCCGGTAAGGCGCGGGCGCCCTCGCTCTCAGCCCTTTGCGCTGCGCCCAGGCGCCTCCCGGGGGTGTCTACACCCTCCTGCTCCCGGGACCCAGGCAGCCGCATCCTGGGCCCCTCCACGCCGGCCATAACGGTCATCCGAGCCCAAGACCAGGAGGGACTCCCTCGCGGTGCTGCTCCATGGGATCCCAGCAGGGCCTCGCGCCTCGGCCCCCCGCGACACGCCCAGGCGGCTCCCGCGGCCCTTTATTCCCAGAACGCGGGAGAGTTAAGTCCGTCGCGCTGCAGACAGGGGCACTGAGGCCCAGGGCGGGTTTGGGAGTTGCCGGAGGTCATCTGTTCGCAGTTCTCTCTCCCTTATTATCCTCCTACCAGACATGCACCTGTGTCGGTCACGCCAGTTTGGTACCCATCCTGGCTTCCAAACCCAGAGGTCTTCCATTCCATTCTATTCCACCCACCCATTCTTTTGGTGGCCCGCTCAGCATTTCCATCTGCCCACTTCTCAAATTCATTCGCACATCATTCATTAGTTCTGTCCCCCACCCCCGTCTGTCCTGCCCACAGCCCTAATACTCCCCAACCCACTTCCCAGTTCCCTTCCATCTCTGACACCAGCTCCCTGCCTCCCACAATCCGTTCCTAACGTTGCCTGCTCTCCCTACCAGTTCCCTCCATTGAATGTTGGTAACCCGCTCAGTGAGTTGACTTAAAATTCTGTTTAAATGATTTCTAAAGTCTCCAAAAAGAAAAAAGGATGAGGGACATATGGACCTTTTAAAAGCTGGACAAGAAGCCAAGGGATGCCACAAGGTTAAATAAAAGTGGTCATTGGAGTGATTCACAGTTTAGAGGCTTTCTGCTGAGGTGGGCATGAGTGTGGCTGTGGGTCTTGTTTTCTTCTTAGTGGGCATTGAGTGTTAGCACTTTGGGCAGACAGAGCCAGTTAAGCTGAGAGTTCAACTTGTTGGCAAAAGCTCTCAACTAATTGATATTAATTTAGTCTTAACTTCAGACCAGTGACATTTAGGATGTTTTGAGTTGAGAGGACAAATGATTGGAGTGTGGGCTTTCAGGTTGTGCTGGAGCAAAAGCCACTACGTAGAGTTGTGATTACCAGGCTGGGTTGATGTCCAGGGACCCAGAGAGGTCCAGATGGCAAGGTGGAGCCAAGCTGGGGATACAAAAGGAGGTTGAAGGAACCAGGGCTTATTCTAAGCATGAGAGACGGCACAGTCATGAATATGATTGTAGGGAGATGGGTGGGGCTCCGTATATCAGCATATCTAGGAATGAATGGCTGCTGGGCATTCTATTAGTTTTGAGGGTAGCTGAGCAGACGAAACAGGTAGAATAGAGTTATATTAGTGGGGGCGTAGGAAGCCCGGAACCAGACATTGAGCTAAGAAGGTATGCTAACTTATTTGTTATAAGCTTTAAATAGATTAGAGTATATTTTTCCTCCCACTGCTTTCTTTCTTTCTTTTTTTTTCCAGAGAAGTGGAAGGGATGAAGGGGGAGAGAACAAGAAGGAAGCGAGGGAAACATCGATGTGAGAGTGATATAAATAGATAAGAATTTTGAATGCTGATGTGAGTTTTAGATTTGGTCAAAACAGAGCTCATACTTAAGGAAGGAAGAAAGGATGGATTTGTACTATGTGTCAGATGCTTCCACATGCTATTTTATTTAATTCTCTCAAAGACCCTGGATGGTGGTATTTACAGAGGAAAGTAATACTCAGAGAGGGCAAGTAACTTAAGATCATACAGCTGGTAAGTGAAAGAGCTAGATTTAACCTTGGGCTGATCCATTTCTAAAGCGTATACTCTTGCCCACTAGTCTCTATACCAGAGGTTCTCAACCTTCTGGTCCTTTAAATACAATTATTAATGTTGTGACGCAACCATAAAATTATTTTCGTTGCTACTTCGTAACTGTAATGTTGCTACTGTTAGGAATTGTTATGTAAATATCTGATATGCAGGATGGTCTTAGGCGACCCCTGTGAAAGAGTCGTTCAACAGCCAAAGGGGTCGGGACTTACAGATTGAGAACTGCTGCTCTATACCTTTTTGCATTTTGGGTAATGGAGGTGGGAGGGATCAAGGGTTGTGGGAGAGAGAGGAGGTAGTCTCCTAATGTGTTAGTGAAAAGAGTGTAGCATTTCCCTTCTAAATAAAAGGAAGTTATTATTAAATAGTGATTTTTTTAAGGGAAATTTATAGAGGAGAGTACTTGAAGCTTTAATAGATATTTTCAAATTGTGTGTCATGTTGCTATGAATAAATATTACAGACTTAATATTTATGTTGTTATTTTAATAAAGTGTTCTATTTTTTTAGAATATACATTTTATTGATTTTTTACAGAGAGGAAGGGAGAGAGACAGAGAGTTAGAAACATCGATGAGAGAGAAACATCGATCAGCTGCCTCCTGCACATCTCCCACTGGGGATGTGCCCGCAACCCAGGTACATGCCCTTGACCGGAATCGAAACTGGGACCTTTCAGTCCGCAGGCTGACGCTCTATCCACTGAGCCAAACCGGTTTCCGGCAAAAGTGTCCTGTTTTTATAGAGAAAGCATACTTGACTGCATTGTGTGCTAAATATTCTGGCCTCATCGGTTATTTACCTCCGGGAAAGTTACATGGACTGTCAGGTTCTGTCTTTTCCCCCTGATGGCTGATAAATAAATGGAAGATAACAAAAATTGGCTCTTCTGGCTGTGTGGACCTAACCCTTCTGAAGCGATGGCTGATACCACTCTTCCCTCTCTTTCTGCCAGAGGCTGACACTTACCTTACTCGGTTCAGTGTCCCTCAGACGTACAATTACTCTGTTCTCCTTGTGGATCCTGCTTCCCATACACTTTATGTCGGTACCCGGGACACCATCTTCGCTTTATCTCTGCCCTTCTCAGCAGAGAGACCTCGAAGGGTGAGTGATGAAAGTGGGGAAGACCCCAGAGCGTGTGATTAGATCTATGGTTTTATGGAAGGTCAGGGAGGGGTGTTGTGGTAGGAAGTGAAATGTTAGGGAAAATGAATAGGGCAGGCCATCAAGTACATTATCTCAGCTGAGGGTGTATGGGGGGTCATGGTGATGGGGGAAGTGTGTGAAGGAGGTTCATGATGAGGGGAGGAGGCCATAGTGACCAGGTTTTAGGTGATAGTGGGCAGAGGAATCATTAGAATCACATTAATCTAGTACAGTAGCTTTCAAACTTTTTTGATCAGCCCTTCATAAGAAATATATGGTATATTTTGACTCCGTACACAAAGTGTGTACTTGAACCAATATCTACTCTCCTATATGAGATACATTCAGATATATTTTGATAAAAGTAATCTTGGCTGTGATTTCACAATTGATTTTATTACTTGTGAATAGCTAGGGACCTCCACTTTTAAAAACAGTGCTCTGGGGGTGAGG